AGTTTTGAGCTAAGCAGCCCAGTGTAAGCCTGACCATCCCCACCACTCTCTGCCAGCTGCTGTGTGCTTAGGAGATACAAATTAGTTTCCACATTAGCTTAAGGAAGACATAATTAGGAAGGTAGATCTGCTACAAGAAAACCACCTCATAAATGCTACTTTAGGAAGGAGGTGAACGGGAGTAAACGACTCTCCCTTTGGCTCAACTAAGAGCTGGCTGGGAGATACGTTTTTGTAAACACATACTCCATTCCAAGTCAGTGACTGGTGTGTTCAGATGAGCTGGGTTTGTTAGCTGCTGCACACAACACCGTGCACTGGGGTGTAGGGGAAGCTGCAGGGCTGTGGCAGGTTCTGGTGGCCCATCGTGCCCAATGCCTTGTAACCATTCTGTGTTCTTGTCAGGCCCTTTTATGGCAGACTATGAAGGTTATAGGTGGATCCTGGCAAGAAGGCTACAGGTGGGAGAAGGAAGCAGCTGAGGTGTGGTAGCGGCAGCACGGCCTTCGCAGGTTCTGCTTCTTCCGGATGGCCTTATTCCCTTCAGTATAGCCTCCGTCACCCAGTCCTCTGATAGCTTTAGGAACTGCCGATAATCGCGATCTTTGGTGGTGTTGCTCTTTGTTGATTGGCTGGTGTTCTTTTTATAAAGACTTGTCTTCGGGGACAAGTTGGCTATACAAGTACAGTTCAGATAAGAGAGAAAATGACTGTTGGTCAAGATGAAGTTTATTAGTCTTCGTGAATACATGGACTTCAAGATGGCGCCAGTTCTCCCAGTGAAGAAGAAGAAATCTTTAGATGTCAAAGTAGGGGAGCTGCTGCGCTAGACATTGATGTGGAATTTCACTCCTAAAGACATCGCTGGAGCATTTCAAAGAGGTCACTACAACACATACATCAGTCAGAAAAAAGGAAGTGCTGCTGAGGTGGCTTGATGCGGGCAGCTTACATGCTTTTCAGCTCCTGCCTGTCTTACGAAGAACTCAAACCTGAATGGCAACCCATGTAGCCACTGAAGAGGGGACAGTGCCCAGGGTGCACTCTGGACCATGATCGCCTTACCCCGACTCCTGTGTGGGGAACTCCGTCTTTGCTGACTCCTTTCCTACCAATAAAAACTGACTGGGTTTTTTTTTAAAAAAGATGATGCTTTACTGAGGTAGATGTCTTTCTGTGTGACTGTCAAGCTCTGGAACTGTCCAGTTACCATCCCTTCATCCCTCACTCTGGGTAACCCCCGTGTGACCCTACCACTTCTCATTTCTGCATTAAAACTCAGCTGGGTGACTTTCTTCTGAGGACCGTATGCAGGCCACCAGCGTGTGCTTTGTAGCCCTGCTCTTCTTCCCTGCCTTCCCTGCAGTTTGAGCACATATTCTGAGCCGTGTGCATGCCCTGCACAGTCTAATTGAAGGAAGGCTCATCCCTGCTTCCATCTTCAGAATGGAAGCCTTTATGGTCAGATCAGCAAGGCTAGGGTTGAGTTCAGCTCACACTGGGGGTTCAGTCTACAGGACAATCAACCACGGGGGTTCTGATACCGAAGCACAAAGCCTCAGTTCATAGTATTCCTGAGCATCTCCCTGGTGTTCAAGAGGAAATTATGAGTTTATATTTCTAAGATATCTCTTGAGATTCATTTGCTAAAGATTAAAAATAAATTCAATTTTAATATTTGATTTATGGGGAAGGGGGCAAGTGGAGTTTCTTGGTAGTCTTCCAAAGGCAAAGGACAGAATGACACTGTCCCAGCTGACCCACACTACAGTGAGCATGATTCCTAGGAGCATTTTTGAGATTGTCTGGCCAGAAGGGAGGAAGCTTTGAGTGCTGGGAAGGCCCCAGCACTGAGGGCTGCTCTTGGCTGCAGGAGACTGTTTGGTGCTTGCCAGGTCTAACACGTTAGATCCATAAATCCCCAACGCCTCATACTTGGCCAGCGCACAAAGGGAAGGCTGAGGGCCCCCTGCTCCCCAGGCTTGCTAGCATTAGGGCCGCCTGGGCCTCTCTTCAGTTTCAGACTGGCCTTCTTGTCATGACCTTGTCCTCTTCCTGTTGTTGGTCTCTGTGTAGACCTCTGCCTCTGTCTCCCTTCCACTGCTGGACTGGCTTCCCTGCCAGGTGACCAGGCTTGTTTGGATTTGTCAGCCTCTGGGGTATTCTTCCAAGAAAGATTTCCTCCTCTTGCTGGTCCTTAAATTGTGACAAGTTTTGGTTTTGGTTTTGGTTTTTCAAGACAGTTTTTGTGTAACAGCCCTAGCTGTCCTGGAACTCACTCTGTAGACCAGGCTAGCCTCAAACTCACAGAGAACCACTTGCTTCTGCCTCCTGAGTGCTGGGATTAAAGGCGTGCGCCACCTCCGCCCGGCAAGAATTAGACAAGTTTTGTAACATGGGAGTGGTTGGTTGAATCCCTTGTTCTCCCCTCCTTTTTCAGATATATTTAATTGTGTATGTGCGAGTGTTTTGCCTACATATATGTATATGCTTGTGCCAGCAAGAGTCAGAAGATCCCCTGGAAGTGGATTGAGGATCCTTATGAGCCACCATGTGGGTGCTGAGAACTAAGCCATCTCTCCAGCCCTTTCTGACAGGTTCATTCTTACCCTTTCTGGTCATAGACTTGATTCTCCATATAGGCCAATGTTCTTCTGCTACATGGATTAGCCTTCCTGTTAACAAACTACAGAAGAGCCGGGTGGTGGTGGTGGTAATGGTGGCGGCACACACCTTTAATCCCAGCACTCTGTGAGTTCGAGGCCAGCCTGGTCTACAGAGGGAGTTCCAGGACAGCCAAAGCTGTTACACAGAGAAACCCCATCTTGAAAAAACAAAAAATAAAACTACAGAAGACATTACATTATTTCCTTTTAGTTTTAAGAATCATTTCTCAGTCAAGTGTGGTGGCTCATGCCTGTAATTTTAGCACTCAGGAGGCTGAAGCAGGAGGATAGCTGAGTGTAAGGCCAGCCTATGCCATCCAGTGATTTCCAGGCCAGCCAAGTCTACAGTATGAAACCTGTCTCTAGGAAAAAAAAAATCTTTCCATCAACTGCTATTTATTTTGTGTAGCTTCCCCCCCCTCCTACCCCCCACCCTCCCGCATGACTGTCAGTATTCTCCCAACTGAAGATACTTCCACGGCCAACTCACAAGGCCTTTGGCCTGAAAGATTGAATTACAGCAAACAACAATTCCCAGAGGTTTCCCTGCTTGGAGGGCAAATGAAAGGCCCATTCTTCCAAAAGCCGTCTGTCTTGCCCTATCTTGTCGTGGGGTGGAGGAGGGTAAGCTGTCGTGCTGGGTAGCAGCCAGTCCTGGTACCCTGGGTTCTGTCTGGTTCATGTCTATCCTGTTTACTGCTGAGGAGTTTAGACGTGTTGAGAATATCATCGTACTGTACCTGATCCCTTGTATGTATTATATAACACACTTATTTCAGTCCTAACGATTGAACCATAGCCTCGCAATAAGTAAGCATTCTACCACGAGCTGCACCCGCAGCTCCAGCCCTGGTCCTGTTTTTAACTGTGTTACTGCAGGTCGGTAGTTGGCCCAGGAGTGCACACTCACCTGTGCACTGGGCTGGCAGCTGCGCTGTCCCCTCCTAGAGTTCCTGTGCGCCTGAGACCTCTGCTGGGATGCAGATGGGAAGCTGCCTGCCGGTTCTCCTTATGATTCCATGGCTTTTATCTCAGATCTGTGTCTTTGGAGGCCTTCAGCAAATGATCGCCTGCCGTAGGAGCAAGTCCCTGTTACAAGATGTGTGCTGTTCCCAGGGACCAATAAACTAGCAGCCCAAACTAGACTTTTCATTCAAAATCATCTCAAAAAGGAGTGGATGCCGGGCGGTGGTGGCGCATGCCTTTAATCCCAGCACTCGGGAGGCAGAGGCAGGCGGATCTCTATGAGTTCGAGGCCAGCCTGGACTACCAAGTCAGTTCCAGGAAAGGCGCAAAGCTACACAGAGAAACCCTGTCTCGAAAAACCAAAAAAAAAAAAAAAAAAAGGAGTGGACAAGTACTGTAGACCTACTGTGTACCAGACACTGTTCCAAGGGTTTCCTATGTCAGCATGTCTGGTTCAGCATCCACATGAGATTAGTGATTACCATTTTATATGTGAGGAAGCTAAGGCCCACAGATGTTGGATGACAGAATTGAAACAGGTCTTCGTGGCTGAGAACGCTTAATGGAATTAAGATAGCCTATAGAGTAAAATAGCTCTTCCATGCAAAGCCCGGGACTTCCACAAAGCATTTGACTACACTGCCTTAAGGATGCTGTGGAGAACGCCGGTTTCGCTGTAGAGCAGAGCAAAGCAAAGGCCTTGAAGGCTCTTCAGTCTGCAGAGGGCAAGGCTAGAAGGATGTGGTCCAATTGCTAAAAAGTCACGAAGACCATGGTGAGTTGTGTCACAGTGTGTCCCATTACTGAACAGCCTCTGTGCTCAGGTTGCTCAGTATTCAGTGACAGTCCTGTCAACAACTGAAGTCCGCAGACATCTAAAGAGAAACACAGAAACTGCTCGGAAGCAGGGCGGGGCCGTGCGAAGTTGAGGGAATGGTGGAGTCCATAACCCCACAGGAGGCAGGGGAGAGAGTGGCCTGTGTGTCTGCTCTAACCCCTGGATTGTCAAAAGAGCCTGACTTCCATCTGCAGGAGTAGCCTAGGCAGGGAGAGAGGCTTGAACAAGCATGCGTGGTATTGAGGGTGTGTCGGCAGGACAAACGTGGTTGTGTGATGGAGGGATAATGCAGGGAATTTGGGGGAAAGTTGGTGTATACTTGCTCAAGATTGAGCTAACCAGGCATGGTGACTATGTAATCTCAGCACTTGGAAAGCTGAGGCAGCAGGATCGAGAGTTTGAGACCAGCCTGGGTTACTTAAAGTGCTGAGGAGACTCAGAAGTATCTGGAAATGAGCATGACAGTGCTTTGCCAAAGATCATTAAGGCTGGGTTTGCAGCACGTCAACTAGAATACTTTCTCACTGCAGGCCCAGATGAAGTTCATGCATGGACCATCAGGAAAGCCATGAAGGCTCCTCAGGCTGCAGGAAAAATTCACACAGAGTTTGGAAAGGGATTCATTATGGCGGAAGTAATGAAAGACGAAGATCTTAAAGAGGAAGGTTCTGGAAATGCAGCCATGGCTGCTGGGAAGTACAGACAACAAGGCAGAACTTACGTTGTTGAAGATGGAGATATTATCTTATTCAAATTTAATTCGCCTCAGCACCTGAAGAAGAAATAAAGTTTAGCTCTTAACTTTAGCATATGTATGGCTATGGTTTTGCTTTTGACTTGGGGTAGTTGGTTGTTTTGTTTTGTTTTTAGCTAAAGTTTCTGAAAACTGAAGGTACAAAGTTGGAATGGGACTCTTATATAAATTGTTACTTACATTAAAATAGCAGAAGCTGAGTTCTGGTTTACTTTTGAAAGGAGAGTTGGGATTGGAGAGTTGACTCAGCAGTCGGGCATGCCCACTGTCCTAACGAAGAACCCAGGTGTGTCAGTGCGTCCAGCTCCAAGGGACCTAATGCCCTCTTCTGGCTTCAAGGGTACCTACACACGTCATTCATTTACACAGATGCATACATACACATAAATAAAATTAATCAAAGTAGTTTAATTTAAAAAAGGGAAGGACGAGGAGCTGACAGGAGTTGGTGGTGTATTGGATATAAAGTCAAGGGTGGTGAGGGGGACTTCAGAGACTTGAACCTGAGCAACAGGAAGAATGTAATTGCCGTGTGTTGAGGGAAGGGGGCCTGGGCCTTGCTTCACCGTTTATGCTCAGCAATGATAGCCAACAGTTGTATTTTAATCAAGACAGGACAGGCTCCTAGGGCTGACAGCTCCTCTAGGGAGTTGGAAGTGAGTGGTTGATCCAAAGATCCTAGAGGTGAGGCCTGACTTTCTGAGTTCCCTATGACCTCCATTCTCATTCTCCATGGTCAGTGCTGCCATGATTTCCCATGAAGCCTGGAGAGGCAGTGGTGAGCCCTGAAGGATGGCCCTCTGCCTTCCTGGCCCTGTGGCAGGGTGCTAGTTGTCCAGGGTATTTTGGTGCATGGAAAGGCTCCCAGATCCAAAGCCCACACATCTAGCTTAATAAACTAGTCATTGGGGGCAGGGGGACAACATGACAGCCTGTCTGTTCGCCTGTTGTTTGTCTCGTTGTGTTTTTTGAGACAGGGTCTTAAGGCTGTTGACAAGGCCAGCCTGGAGGCTGTGTGCTAGGACTGTAGTCATGCATTACCTTCCCTGGTTTGGGGGTGTAGGGGTTGGTTTTGACTGTGAGACACGGTCTCCCTCACCATGTAACTTGAGTTGGCCTCAAACTAAAGATCCTCCCGCCTCTGCCTCCCAAGTGCTGATTTTATGGGTATCTACCACCACAGGCAGGATCTACTGGGTATTGTTATTACATTGACTTGTTTGCTCTGTGTGTGTGTGTGTGTGTGTGTGTGCGCGCGCGCGCGCGCAGTGGAGATCAGAAGACAACTTACTGAAGTCAGTTCTCCTTCCATCGTGTGAGTGCTGGGGATTGAACCCGGGGTGTTAGCTTTGGTGGTAAGCACCTTTACCTGCTGAACCATCTGGCTTGCCCTTGCATTTTGTTTTTTGGAAAACTTTTTATGTGTGTATGTCGGGGGCTGTTTCTCATTTTGTAGCTCTAACTGATGTAGAACTGGCTATGCAGACCAGACTGGCCTCAAATACAGAAATCCACCTGCCTCTGTCTCCCAAGTGCTGGGATTGGATAGCGATTTACCACTGGGCATCATCTCTGTAATCAGGACACCTGGAGGCTGAGTAAGGCAGGAAGAATACCATGAGTCTGAGGCCAGCCCAAGCTACCCAGTGAGACTGTCTCAAAACAAATGAGAATAAACTTTGAATTTAAAGAACCGGTTTTTGATTTAGATTTGCTAAACTCTAGCATTTGTGTGGCTTTGACATTTTGGAATACTGAAGTCTTGAGAACATTGTGAGTCCGTGCCTTCCTGATAGGTCCAGGGTTCTGCTGGAGTGCTCACTTATGAAAAGATGCCATCCTGCATCCCTCTCCAGGGTCCTAGCACAAATCCAAGGGCATACAGCCACACACACCAAGGAGTTTGGTTACTAAGACTGTATTGGGTCTCCCTGAAAAAGAAAAGGAACTTCAGGCCCTTAAAGTAGAACATGAAGGGCTTCCTGTTGCTTAATCAATTGAAATGACCCAGAATCCAAGCTTGGATTAGCATGTGCCTCTAGATTAGGGCTAATCGGGGGCAGGCTGAGCAGATGCAGGGACACTCCCAGCGTGATTACTGTACCTCAGCATTTAATCATCTCTCTTCCAAGGGCAGCCGCCCGCCCGACTTAGTGTGTACTGGGTTTCAAAGCTTTCGGCCCCTCCCCCATGCCATGGACATAAAGGCAGCTAGGTCAGAGACACTGAGGAGATTTAATCTAATCCCATGTCCAAATGCCTGTGTGGGTGTTTGTGTTAGAGAGAGAGATCTTAAAATCCCCACATGAAGATGGCGATACATTTATTTAAGGTGGACATGGACTGAGAATGCATGTAGAAAAGATTAGAGTTGAGTTTGCAAGGCCTTTGAGGTTATGCAATGACCAAGATGTGTAGTACCTATCACAACTACTCACCTTGAGACAGCTTTGTTATGGAAGTCGTTTCATAACTCAATTGTAGGGGCTAAATTGGCTTCTTCCCTGAGTTATGTGAAATATACAAAATGCAGTCTATAAAAAAATTTTTTATTTGGATAGGTTTTGGGTGTGGTGTTTTTACTTTGTTTTGGTTTTAGGAGAAATGTCTCACTGTTTATTCCAGGCTGGCCTTGGACTTGGCGCAGCCTTCCTGACTCCTGAGATTACCCTTGAGCCACTACTCTAGCTGTGACTTTACACTTGCGTTTTCATTTCTGAGTGTAGAAAATGTGTTGAGCACCTGCTCACTGTTAGGGCCTCAGTGATAGACTCGGTCCCTTCTTAAGGAATTTGCAATCGAATTGAAGACAAGATATGCAAACAGTGATGATCTGTAAGATTGTTCCTCTGTAGAAGGCTGAGCACAGAGCCGTGGGGCTACCAGGGAAGAGGATCCAAACCATTGGAGGGCAGAGGCTGGAAGAAGCAGAGAACAAGTCCATTCTGCAGAAGTCATGGTGTGCGCAAGCATGGAGGTGCTTGTGTGGAGAAGACTAAGTCCATCGCAGCCTTTGCAGGCCAAAGCATAGTGGGTGTGTGCGTGCCTGTCTTCCTAGCACTTGACAGGAGGCTCCAAGGTTCAAGGCCAGCCTATGCTCCATCTTGAAACCCTGCCTCAAAACAAGAAGATAGTCTAGAGCAAATCATGACTGCCTTGACCACCATGCCAAACCATCTAGACTGTGCTGTGACTTTGGGGACATTACTAATGTCATGGTACCTAAGTGTGCAACTAGAAGGCTAAGCAGCATAGTATATCTAAAAATAACTTCTGTGGCAAGGAAGGGTGAAGGAAAGAACTGATTCAGCATTTAAAAGCCATTTGGAATGGCTTAGAAGAAACCGGGGCACCCCTGTCGTGAAGCCACACCCCCTGTTGCTTCCTCTGCTGACTTTTCCCCATCACAGAGACAAGAACTCTCACTGACCCTGCCTTTGTTTTGTTAACACACCCATGTAAGTGGAGTTTCACAAATGACTGTCATCAAAACAAAACTCTCAAGCCCTGCTTCGTGTTGTACCATCAAATGCTTATCCTGAAATTGACAAAACTGAACCTTGGAAAATGCTCACACACGGTTAATACTATGAAATCAGATTTTGGTGGGTTTTTTGTTTGCTTGTTTGTTTATTGTTGGTTTGTTTGTTTTTGAGACAGGGTTTCTCAGTGTAGCTTTGGTGCCTGTCCTGGATCTCACTCTGGACCAGGCTGGCCTTGAACTCACAGAGATCCGCCAGGCTCTGCCTCTCGAGCGCTGGGATTAAAGGCATGTGCCACCACCGCCCAGCATCAAAATCAGATTTTCTTTTGTTTGCACTGATTTCCTTTGGTTCGGATCTTTCCCCCACTACCACCTGGGCAAGCGTATATATGTGGGTGCATGCATGCCACCAAGTATATGTGATGGTCAAAAGACAACTTCTGGGAATGAGTGCTCTCCACCATGTGGGCCCTGGGAATTGAACTCAGGTCATCAGACTTGGCGACAGGATTCCCACCCACTGGGCCTTCTAACTGTACCTGGGCCTCCCCACCCCCTTCTTTCTTTTCTTTTGAGACAAGGTCACACTATTTGCCCTAGCTGGCCTGGAACTGTATAGATCTGGTTCACCTCCAACTCATAGAGGTCCATCTACCTCTACTTCCTGGGTGCTGCTCAACATCTCTTTTTAAAACTCCTTTTTATTTTCAGGTGGGACTCTTTGGTGTCCCTCAAGCCAGTATTGCCTCCTCTGGCAGTGTCACAGAGCTTAATCAAGCCAGCAAGTATGGTACCACATAGAGTCAGTTACACACGGCTGGAGAGCATGAGAGAAGACCCAATTTTATAACTACTTTTGTGGCAGTCTTAAAGTTGAGCTGCTAGATAGATAACCAGTCTTAGTACTTGAATATGGGCTATGCACAGAAGCAAATAACATGGCATACTATAACTTCAGTGCCCGGCTTTGCTCCTTCCGGTGGCTCCTGGTGCTTAGGCCCAGCTCTGCTTCTTGTCTAGCTCCCATTCTCCCTTGCAGGATCTCCAAAGCCCATGTGGCTGCCCTCTGGTTTCTGTGCTCATATGGTACACATTCTTCCAAGCTACCTGAGAAAGCATGCATGAGCAAGCAGAGGTTTGAGCCATATCTAAAATTGTGTGGTGTGATAGTTCATACAGATCATCACAGCTGGGTATAGAATTGAAGGCTGCCAGCAATTCTGGAATGCTTGAACCAGGGTTCTTGAAGGCATGGCTCCATCATCTTAGTGTCCAGGTTTGCCATGGAGTCCGGTATTATTCTCATGCCCAAGTTTTTGTATATGCTCTCCCTTCCCTACTTTGTTCTTTTTTGGTTTCCCAAGACAGGGTTTCTCTGTGTAGCCCTGACTGTCCTGGATCTTGCTCTGTAGACCAGGCTGGTCTTGAACTCACAGAGATCCACCTGGCTCTGCCTCCTGAGTACTGGGATTAAAGGCATGTGCCATCACACCCAGCCCCTACTTCGTTCTTTCTAGAATCTTCTGGGCTTTTCGCTGTTACCCTCATGTTCTGAGAAAATGTGTGTGGGTGTCTGAATCTCTCATCATCCACTGTGCCAGGTGCACCAAGTGGCCTTTTCCTTGACAAACTCATTTTCTCCATAATAGAAGTTTGCTTGTGTGTCTGATTTCCCTACTTTCTAATCTTTTCTAGTATCTGGAAAACTCTCCTGTTATCTTACAACCTTTGGAACGTGTTTTATTTGTTGCACTTTTTGTTTTTAAAGTACTTTCATATTTCTCTTTTCTAGTTGGTTGTAGGATTTTGAAGGAGTTGTCCTGGGTTTTGTTGTTGCTGCTGCTGTTGTTTTTATGTGGCAGGGTCTCACTATGTAGTCCAGATTGGTTTCAAACTCACAATTCTCCTGTCTCAGCCTCCTGGGTATTGGGATTATAGACATACCCCATCACAAGTTTGGGGGCTTGAGGTTTGGTTGATTGATTGGTTGATTGGATGGATGGATGGATGCTTGCTTGCTTGGTTAGTTAGTTGGTTGGCTGACTGGCTGGCTGGCTGGTTGCCTGGTTAGTTTGGGTGACTGTTGTTTGTGCTGCCGGGAATCTAACCTAGAGCCTCATACATGCTAGATAAGATTTCTTCCACTGAGCTATACTCCCAGCTCCATATTTTGTATTTCTAAAATGGAGTTCCCTAGCCTGGAACTCCTGGGCTCAAGGGATGCTCCTGTCTCAGACTCGCACTACAGGTGTAGGTTTGGTGTTTGGGGTGTTTTGTTTTGCTTTGCTTTGCTTTGCTTTTAGTACCATCCCATTTTAAGACAATGATCTGTGAGGATACTGTGACAGCATTTGTTTTTGTTTTCTTCCGACGTTGTCTCTGTGTAGCTCTGTCCCTCTTATGAGTGACACATCAGAATGCTGCTTCGCAGGTTGTCCAGGGACAGAGCTAGGCAGCTGTGGACGTTAGGTCTAGTGACATTTAGGACAGCCACTCTGCTCACCTTACTTCACTGGAAGTATTTTCTTTGGGCTGAATCTCAAATGATCTGTCCCAGTGGTCTGGGTGTCAGGGTTTGGGTACCCACCTACTGATCCACTCGGTTAAATCCTAGTTCCTGTTATCAGCCTCCTCTGTCTTCCTGGAGGATCCTGAAGGGGGTTGGGCAGGATTCCAGCTTCTGCTTCACTAACAGTCAGAATCACTCCTTTGCTTTGTAGCTTCCCAAACATAGCCCTTCTCCGTCCGTTGTAATTCTACTTCCAACGGGAAGACATGGCCGAAGTGCACGATTGTTTGGCCCAATCGTGCTAACTGGAAAGGGGTCACCGTTCTCCGAGGTTCCATGACAATTGCTCTGCTCTGAGAATAGTGGGGCTCGAGAGAGATGGGGTGTGTGCTTGTTTGTTTTGTTGTTGCTTTTAGTTAACCCGAAAACACGTTTTTTTTAAATTATACCAGTCTGTGAAATCCTAAACTTAGTAGACAGGTGGGCTAGTTAGTTTTTTTTTCTTTCTTTTATCCACTCGACTCTGGAGGAAAGGACAGAGATGGACCAGTGACCAGACAACAGTATAAAAGACAGAAATTTGGTTTTCTGTTGTTTCTTTTCAAGCTGACAGAAGCTCGCATGGGCAGCTAGGGGCTGCAAGAGACGAGCAGCGGAGCAGAGTCTCAGAGGAGGTAGTCTTGCTGGAGCAGGGGTGGCCGGAAGTGTGGGAGGACTCGTACTCGATGGGCTGTGCTTGCTAGAGATGGAGGCAGGCAGGTCTGTGGAGGTGCTTCCAGTGTGCCCACACTTCTCTTTCCTGAGAGTCTGTCTTAAAGAACTAAAGTGAACTGAGAGAAGAGACTGACTGCCGGGTACCATGGCACACCTATAGTCTGAGCGCTTGGGAGGCTGAGGCAGTAGGATCAAGAGTTCAAGGCCAGCCTGGGCTACACAGCAAGACCTTGTCTCTAACAAAAAGAAAGAAAAGAAGTTGAAACGTATCTGTACCTGGAAAGCAGGTAAGTCGTTAACCTGGGGCTGGCAGCCAGCGGTACCCTGAAGGAACAGAGCCAGTTACTCCAGCCAGCACCTGAGTCCTGAGCACGGCCCCACCAACAGTCTTGCTTTGTCTCTCCAGGCCTGGTCCAGATCCCTGTGAGCATGTACCAGACTGTGGTAACCAGCCTCGCCCAAGGCAACGGGCCAGTGCAGGTGGCCATGGCCCCAGTAACCACCAGGATATCGGACAGCGCAGTCACCATGGACGGCCAGGCTGTGGAGGTGGTAACATTGGAACAGTGACATGCAGCCCTATCATGGCATCGTTTTCTAGTCTACTTCAAATTTTTTACATGTTTGCAGAGGTGCAATCAAATGGGATTAAGTCTCTCGACTTGGAAGAAAAGTTTTGGTAACCTTTTTTTAAAAAGGAAGAAAGGCAACAGATTTTGGAATCACATTTTTTTAAAGCACCACTTCTGGGATTTGGTGGAGCAAGAAACGACACCGATTTCACTGTCCCAAAAAAGCCAAATTGTGGCCGGACTTCTTTGTGCGGAAATGTGTGTATACTTATGTGTGTGTATGTGTGAGTGTGAATATATGTATATGTGTACATATGGACATACACATTTACATATGTGTATAAAGTATATATGTACATACATATATATGTATGAAACCCGCATGGAATTATTTGTATGAAATCAAGGTGAACTGTGGAAAAATAGCCCACCCAGTTTAGTGGGTGGTAGGGTACATGGCCAGACACAGTCACCTGGTTTTCGTTCGTACCAGGGTCATGCATTGAGCTACTGACAAACTCAGGCAGAGGTGACCACGTCCTTCACCAAAGCTGCCTCCCAGTGGCCGCCTAGAACTCTGCTAGATTCACGCGAGGGAAGGAGGATTCAGGACACAGTGCGGTCCAGAAAGTGCTTACGGAGTCCAGTCACCATGTGCTTTGCCAGCAGAGACTCTTCAGGCTGGCCCAGGTGCTGACCTTGCCTCAGGCAGGTAAATGCCCTACAGGCTCCTGGCAGGGGCAAGAAATCTCTCCTCCAGTTCCCATCTCCTCCCTTCCCGGAATCCTCGGTCTCGTGACTATTAAAGAGTTACTTTGGTTTCAAGGGCAGTCCAGAACCAGTTCCTTTGTGAACTGAAGGTAACAGGAGTGTTAAAGGCCTGAGGAAGTGCTTATGGAGCAGGCGGGTGTAAGTGCAGGGGGTCCGTGTGTGTGTGTGTGTGTGTGTGTGTGTGTGTGCGTGTGTGTGTGAGAGAGTGAAGGGGAGAGAATGGGAAGAGCATGGGAGGGAAGGAAGAGGGAGAAAACTTCATGAACCAGGGTGCACCCATGGAGCCGTGCTCTTCAGCTGTCCAGCCGTATCTTAACAGAGGAGACTGCCACATAAAGGACTCTGCCTGAGGCTCACAGATGTGTCAGGAGAGAAGGGACCATGCTCCTGGTTGGCCCTGCTCCAGGAGGACTCTGCAAGGACTGTTTTCCCAGACCCATCCTGGCAGCCCAGGCCTGGAACAGCTTTCCTGCTCACAGTGTGCATTGGACTGAACATTTTTAGTCACTGTGAACTGCTTTTCCAGCCGAAGCCCTGAGTCTCCAGCGGC